TAGCCTTCTCTATGATGAATCCCACACCCCTTCGCTTCCTTCCACTTTCTTTCCCCGAAAAGATGATTGTATTTCCTACGTCTGATGTAAATCTGCCTTGTCCAAGCCACCATGATTAAGATATTCCCAAAACTTTAATATTATTTAAAGCCATCTCCTTCTCAACCATTTTGACCTTCCCATCAGACATACCACGCACGTTCCACGTGGCTACATTGATTGGTTTCCTTAGAGGGGTGCTGTTTCTTTCCACCATGGGACCTTTATGAACAGAACCTCCTACAGGAGGCTTCGATCCTGATCCGTCATCACCCGCAAGCGTACTACGAGCAGTACCTCTCTCTATTCCTTAGTAGCTCTTGACGTATCTTCCGGCCTGCGGGTTCCACCTTTCGATACCCACTTAATTTGTTGATTTTGTACTCTCATGATGACAAACGCGACCAATTAATAATGGTGGGCAGTCAGATCCTTCCATCGCAGTACAGAAGCCATAAGCGTTCATGCCAACCTGCCCTCTGCTCCCCCGTAGCCGCCGTTGTCCAAGGTTTGGATCCTCCGCCAACTACAAGTTCTGCATCACTGCTGCCCGGTGCAGGACGGTGTTTATTTGAAGGCGACCTTACCCGCCTTGTCATGTTCTCGTCATAGAATTATGAGAGTTTTCAAGAGATAACAGCTCCACCTATTAGCTCCTCTCCTCTGTTAAGAACAACGGGATCAGACAAGCACCCCGCTGGAACCCAGCCAGTATTTCTACGGTCTCGGGGCTATTATCATCAACTCTGCATTATCATCAACTTTAAATTTTAGGATGGGTTTGACCCGGCCCCTCCACTCTGGGGTCGGGGGGACGGCATGCGTTTTCCTAAAATCTCCTGTAAAAGGGTACTTTTTTGCCGACAAAATCTTGCCCAAGAATTGTATAACAAAAAGAGGGGTTTTGATTTTTCACCCGGAGATTTCTTTTAAAAAGTTTGTGTTTTTCCCTTTTTTAAAAATAAAATTGGACTCCTGAGAAATGAAAGGCAACTAGTTTTTCATTAATACCAACTCAGCATAACTATCGGCTATTTTAGCTCCAATCTATGTTTCAAAAGTTGTCAGCTAAACCCACAGGGTGCTGACAGTAATAGACCTGTTTACAAAGTGATTTATATACAGTAGGTTTGCGGGTGCACCATGTGTGTGTGAGAGAGAGAGAGAGGGTTGAGGAGTCCTGAAAAGGACTCTGACTCAGTAATCTTTCTTGGGGGTGTGGTAGTCCTGTAAAGGACTGTTTGTTATCTTTCTTAGCATATAGTTCTAAGGAGAACTAGAGCGCTTGGGGAGGATGAGTGGCTCGACGTTTCGAACAGGTTGACTATCCGTCTCTCTCTCTCTCTCTCTCTCTCTCACATGGTGCACCCGCAAACCTACTGTATATCTACATCACCATGCAAGCCGACACTTACAAGCAGCATCTAAAGTGATTCATATTTAAGATGTTTCTTTCCTGTAGACCTCGTGACAATGTATGCCGTTAACCTGTTATTTGAAGAGTAAAAGACAGTACCTGGAATCCAGTTTGTATACATTCAACAACCCGTCATCTTGTCTTCATGTCTCAAACAAGTCGACTTACCGAGTTCCAACAACACGTCTTCTCGTCATTTTGCCTCGTCTTCCTGTCTTCTCATCTCATCATCTGGTTGGCCATTATAAACTTCCGTACTTAGCTCCTCTCACATGCACTCAGCATAAAGGTCCTGCCCTGACCAGTGCTGAAGTCGTTCTCCCATGCAACTATAGGGACTTTCAGATTTGCACGACGAGAACGTGGATTGTCACGTGTGACATCTTTGTAAGGCATTGTGATGTCCTTTTAAGGCACTGACAGTGCTCCTTGCCTAAGGTACCCGTGAAAAACACACACCACACACATATCTCTCACATTATAAACTTGCACTCTAGCTTGAGAGCCTATGGCACCCTGTCTAAAAATGTAAGCACCGTGCACGGGTCGAATCTGGGACCTCTCATTTGAAAGTCAAGGGCTTTTACCAATATTCCACGGTGTTCCCACATAAGAAGAAGAAGAAGGAGGAGGAGGAAGACGAAAGAAGAAGGAGGAGGAAGAAGGAAGAAGAAGGCGAAAGAAGAAGAATGAAGAAGAAGAAGTAGAAAGAAGAAAAGGAAGAAGTAAGAAAAAGAAGGAGGAGGAAGAAAAGAACAATCTTTACGTATTTTTGTTACTTGATATCCAAAGCAATTCAACTTTGTAACGACATTCGTTAAAATGGCATGGGCATAATCATCCTATGTCATATTAGCTCTTACATCGCAGTAGAATATTATTTGTATAGGTTCTGCGCTTTATACATGTGCTATAACTATGATAATTATAATTGCTCTTTATAATTTGTTCATACTATAGATTTCATGCAATGGATCACTTAGTGTTCTTGCTGCTTCTCAGCGTACCATTCACGATTGATAGAAGAATGGTAAACGCGAATGTCACTAATTTCACAGGTAAGATATTTAAATAGAGTGGCGTACCCAGTAGCGTACGCAGGATTTTTTAAAGGGGGGGGGGGGGGTAACATTTTTAAATCGGGCCGAAAATTTCGCAACGACTCAGCCAGCCGCTGAATAAGCGGGGGGGGGGGGGGGGGGGGAAGGGTAAGAGGACACTTTTATTTTATTTTTTTGGTCTCGAAATTTGAAAATTTGACATTTTGTTCCGTTGGGGGGGGGGGGGAGGGTAAGGTCAGCTTTTTTAGGTAAGCCATTGGCATAATTAAAAAAAAAATAAATAAATAAAAGGGTCACAAGGGGGGGGGGTTGCTCAAAAATACACACATAAAAAAACTGAAGGGGGGAGGGTTCACCCCCCCTGCGTAGGCCCCTGGGCGTACCTGACTAGCACCCGGTTAGCACTTACAAAAATAGCGACAACGGCTCAAACAATGCACTTATCTTAACAATTTATTGAAACATACTTGAATAATTTTTTAGGGAAATTTAGATAAACAAGAATGTGGCTAGGCCTATGTTCGACTTATAAATGGCAGAATTCTTCGGAGCCTATAACGACCCCCATAAAATAATTATGAAAGTGTGTTTTTTGAAACATATTTCTTTTAATCGTGAATATGAGAGGGTAACATTTCGTGTTAGCGCTTATCTATTTCAAGTATGATATATCTTAACATTCTGGAATGATCATATACACATTCGTATATAATGATAAGCAAGTGCAGTATTTCATTAAAAAGTATGAGGACAAAACTTATCTACGGATAAATGTGGGAGCTAGCTGGAACAGTGAAACTCGTTCCCATATCAGATCCAAGGTTAATAGGGCTGGAAAAGGGTAACATTTATATGCGTACATGTACTATGAAATAAAAGTTAAAAAAGATAAACAATTGAGAGTTTGTCGGGGAAACATCCAAAATTCTGCCCCTCCCCTTGCCCACAACTGACTCGGTTTTCAAGGAGTTAGCGCTGCATGGTATTACTCCTTGATATTTTGATACTGGATCCTTACAGATTGAGCAAGATCGACCCCATATAGACCTATTTCACATGTTTTGCCCACCGCCCCGGCAATATACAGCAAAATTCGATCGATGCTTCCCAATGCCGCCAGGCCATTAAATAAAAAACAAAACATGAAGTAAAAAGCTTTATTTCGTTCAACTAAAACATCCTCGCATTCCAAAGTTTGCTGTAAATCGTAATTTTATTTAGAAAGACAAATCACACATTTTCCCTCCTCTCAAGAACGCTAATTTAACTTTAAATCGGAAAGCACACAATATTGCCCATTTTTATTATGTATATAATCTGTGTTCTTAATTTATATACAAATATTTATAAACAGATAAATAATTGTGATTAATCTTTTCTATAAAACAGAATCGGTGACATGTAATGACGGACATCAATCCAATGTTCTTGACCCAACCTGCCCAGAGCCGCTTCGTATTAATTCTTTCTCTTGCGCAATTCAGTGGCGTGGACGACCGTGTAAATGTGACTCACAGTGCGCTCGAAACAATGACTGTTGCCAGCATGCTGAAGAGATGTCTGCCGCAGGAACATTGGAAGCAACATATATATACCCTAATCCTGACGTTCTACCTGAGAAGATGGCTTGGGAAGATCATTATCTCCCATATATGTCATGTGTTACCATATCTGGTACAAATTATGCTGTACTGGGAAATGAAACGCTCTACAAGTCATACCATCTTATTTCCAAGTGCCCTGCCCATGTCCTAGATGATAGTATAGTTCGTCACTTGTGTGAGAACCCACCAACTTCCCAGCAAATATTCCAAACTCCTATCGCTGTTGAAAGCATTGGCAATTTCAAGAACATATACTGCGCATTTTGTCATGGAATTTCAATCATTAGCATTCAGCCATGGCAGTGGAATTGGCAATGTGATGACAGTGGTGTAAAACCTGAAAATAGTGGAAGTAGCTCAGTTATTGCAAGAGAACCAACAGTTCAAGTATTAGTTGCCCAATACTGTTCTCGTGTACTTGAACCCCCATCTGATATACCCAATGACATCTTACCTCGGCCTTGTTTCCTCGTCGATGTGACCTCATGTTCCATAGAACATATGAAGTGTCCATCTTTTCTTGCACCTGTAGAACATAATGGGACCATTTACCAAAATATAAACTGTGCGTATTGTAACGGAATAGATGTGTGTGGAAACTATCTTGAATTGTGCAAATCGGTTGAGTTTAAACAAGAGGTACAGACGGGTATTCCTTCATTTGCCCAATACTTTAACTTCATTGACAACGACCAAGAGTTGGTTGCTTCGTCATGCGCTACAAATGAAGCCTTTGACCCACTCACTAGCACATGTCAACTGCTCTATTGCTTCTCTGGATTTGAATATAACATCACAACAGAAGAATGCGAACAAGTACCGGTAGAAGAAAAGGGAAGACTCTGCCTGTCGTTCTATTCTAGTCTTACAGAGATGAATATGACGTCATCGGACACTGAATACCTATCAGCAGCGGTGAACAATTTGATCATTGAATTATCGTTGGACGTACTGACATTCTCTGCTGTTGTATCACTGCCTGAATTGTCCTGTATCCCTGCCAAGGCTCAGATAGATGACTGTGATGAAACTCCTTATCGTTCAATTTGTCAAGTGTGCTTCGATACCGAGATGAACTTTACTGCCCTGCCTCTATCTCCTATGGAATTCGATCAGGGTACCTTGGATACATTAACCAATATAACGTCCTGTCTATACATGCCTTCATTCGGAAACCTTTCAATGGTAGAACTGTTGATTGATGTTCCTGCAGGATGGAGCTGTGAGTCCCATGATTCCTGGACATTTTCAGATTACAACAAAACCTCCGTGCAACCGTTCCGAGTTAACTTTACTAGAGAAAGGGAGGAATATATTCTGAGTGTTTTCAGCATAGGTGACATTTGTGCAAACAGTACCAGACTTGTATGTGACAAATATGTCAGTTTAGAGGCTAGCAAGTTTGAGTTTGTGACAAACCACTCAAAAGTATCGCTCCATATCACTGGTATGGACAATGTCCTTTTACATGATCAGTTTCAGATAAATCCAGATGGCTCCGCTGTTTATTGCCTAGAAGAAGCTGTATCTGAAGGCCGTAACTTACCTGCTGGTCTAGACATCATGAACATAGTAGGAACTGTCCTGTCAATTATGTCACTACTAATCGTCATAACTACATACTTAATTTTTCCTAAGCTTCGTAATGTGGCTGGGAAATCAGTTCTAACTCTATCTGTTACTCTCCTATTAACATTTCTATTGATTTTCGTGGGTGGAGTGAGTACCCGACATGATGGCCTATGTAAAGCATTGGCAGTCATAACTCATTTCTTCTGGCTCTCCATTTTTTTCTGGATGAATGCCCTTGCCATAGATCTGAATCGGACCTTTGGCTCCCATGCTAAATTTCGTGTCGGCAACAAATCTCAAATTGTCTACATCTGGTACTCCTTGTATGCTTGGGGCATACCAGCATTGATCGTAGGTGCTTGTCTGGTTATTGACCTGTGCGACTGCACCAATCTGCACTTGAACTACGGCAATGATGGGCTATGCTGGTTGTCTAGCGGGAATGTGAATCTGTTTGCCTTTGGTGTACCTCTTGCAGCACTTCTGTTCCTGAACGCGATCCTGTTCACAGACACAGTGGTCGGGATTAGACTTACCAAAAAGGCCGCAGAGAAAGCATTAAAGGAGCGACCAGCCCTGGCCAAAGCTAAAGAAGAGTTGTCTCTTTATATCAAGGTCAGTATGAAGATATGTCCCACAAGAATGCGCTAGGTATCTTGATGGACGGGGGGGGGGGGGGGGGGGGAGTACTTAATAGAAATAAATAAATACTAAATAAAAATACCTGGCCCGGGATTCAATTCAATACTGTTGTTAGAAATGGGAGTATTTTACTAAGTTCTTGGCTTAGAAAAAAATACTTGGTCAACTTTGGCATTTAGTTGAGGCTTTTGGCAAAGTATTTTAACGCAAGTTTAAGACAGGTCCCGAACAGACTTAAGCCAATTGTTTAATGCGACACGTTTATTTTTGATAATTTTTGATTGACTATGTGACGTCACAATGCTTATCAGTTAGTATTTTGCCTTAAAGTCGACTTGCTCAAGTAAAATGAAAAGATATGATCTGAATACGAGTTGAGACATATAACTTAGCCAAGTCAAATTTTAAGTAATATACTCAATGCGTTTAAACACTAATTAGTATTCAAAACTTGAATCATCTTTTATTTTGATTAGCCAATTTTTGCTTTAAGACTAGCCGACACGCTGTTGGATTGGAAAGCCTCTATGAATTTATATATTGATTTTTTTCAATCCTTTAAATTCCACCGTAGTTCAATTTCATGTATAATAATAATAACATTGGCTTTTTTCATGGTATATCAGATATATTTCATTCAGCTAGCATGAATATTACACTCGTCTTCGAATCGTGCAATATTCGCGAGCTGGATGCAATATACATGTATCTGATATACCACTCAAGGGCAGCCAATATCATATAAATGGTTTCCTATTCAAAACTTTTTTCTCACTTTTTGTTAGAAATAACTGGTTAATACCTGTAATTAAAGGGAACCAAAACCTCCATTCTAAGTTACTTTTATTGTAAAGTTTAAGATATTTGAAAAATATCAGTGAAAATTTGAACAAAATCGGGCAAGGAATAAGGAAGTTAGAGCTTTTTGAAATGACTAGTCACTAGAGGGCGGTATTCAATTTGATGACATCATCTGTGGACAACTCTGCATGCCTTTTGTACATCAAATTTCATGTTTTTCCTTCTTTCTTGTGATTGAGATAATCTACTCCCCTGAAAGCAAGATATAGAATGCAAGATGATATTCTACTTCACATGTTATGAAGTCGGATCAAGAACACAAATAAATACGAAGAAAACGAAAAAATTGTGAAATTTTATGTACAAAAGGCATGGAGAGGTGTCCACAGATGATGTCATCAAATTGAATACCGCCCTCTTGTGACTAGTCATTTAAAAAAGCTCTAACTTCCTTATTCCTTGCCCGATTTTGTTCAAATTTTCACTGATTTTATTCAAATCTTTTAAACTTTACAATAAAAGTGACTTAGTATGCAGGTTTTGGTTCCCTTTAAATCAAATTATCTGATCTTGAACGAGATCAAATTATGATTTTGATGATGAGAATAAAACTTAATAAATTTATGATGATGATAGTAATACACTTAACAATAACAATTGTTATAGTGGAGGTATAAGTAGCAGAAGAAATAGTAGTAGTAATATAAAAATGATGACAATAATGATTATAATAATAATGATAATTAACAACAGGAATATTAATGCTTTTTTATATTAAAACTATACCCATGCCCGTTAATGTTTACAGAACATTAACTGAATAAAGATTTCGATTCAATTATTTGTCATTCTTTCAAGGCTCCATTGGACGATATCACATTTTTGAAAATGATTTTTCCCCCTTATAGTTGTCTGGTGTCATGGGTTTTACATGGATTTTGGCTTTCGTCTGTGAATATGCCAACATCCCAGAGCTTTGGTATGTCTTCACTGCTATCAATTCCTTGCAAGGAGTCTTCATTCTTCTCGCTTTTGGCTTCAACAAGCGTATTATCGCTATGTGGAAGGGCAAACTGGGAGTCAGGCGTGATGATGTCACCTCCAGCACTGCTGATACAAAGAGCACCAGTACCGGCAATACCATGGTTGAGAAGTAAAACATGGATCCTGCAGCAAGTCAAATCAAATGTTAAAGATGTAAAGCTCCGCTACCGCTGTTATGGTCTCTAACATTGTTTCTGTGCTATATGACTATCAATACATATTAACATAACCTTTCCTAAATTGATCCTGCTTGTTTCTTTTTTTCATCATGGGTAACATGAAATCAAGCTCAAACAATAATATTACGTCTTTGAAGTCGATGAGAGGCCCGCCCACTATCTAGTAGATCTGTAAAAGACGTGCTAAACTTAGAAAGGGTTTACCAACAGGTTTCATATTCTGTGTGTGTGATCATATAAGTGAGAGAGTAGTCTTAAAGTTACTATGTCCCATTTACAGGCCAAAAAATGAAAAAGTTAAATTCCAACTACATTTGAAAGATAATACTTATTTAGAACTTCCCTAAAAAAGGTGGGGCTTGAAAATGTCTTCAAGTGGGAAAATAATGACTATTAGTTGTCAAATCGACTTTAGGGCGATAGAACCCAAAAGTAATAGTCTTGAATTTCAGATAATTGTACCGAATGGTCATACGTTTTATGCTGCGTAAAGATTCAATCAGTTCAATCTTGGCCATCACAAGAAGTGGGTTATTGATGTAGACAAATGCTCATGTACCCTTTACAACTCTTTTCTTGTATGTTATTACCAAATAAGAAAAAAAGCCTGTCAGTCACTCAATAGTGCCTGACAGTGAAGTCTAGCAAGTAAACGGGTTTCCTTGCATAATTTGAATATGAGGACACTGCCAACGTTTAAATTTCACAGATAGGACATACATGACATATTCATAATTCCTGCAAAGTTCTACAGAATTTGAGGTTGGCTGCAAAAGGGACATAGTACCTTTAAACTCTCGATTAATTTAAATAAGAATGAGAAAGCATTATTGCAGGATGTCTAGCTTAATTAAAGCACCTGATCTCTCTAACGAGTGAGGCAATGTAGGGTCATCTCTTCATGAGTTAAAGCCCCACTGCACTACTTATAGCTACTTGCGCCCTCTATATAGCAAACAATGCTTAAGCGGTGACCATTGGTCCCCCATGGTCCTCTTTTTCTTATGCTAATTGAGAGCTGATTTGGTGACCATACAGGGAAGTCTAATCCCTCCTGGCCAAACTAGTGCAGCAAGGGTTCAAGTCTGCCAAGAAACCCTCTAGTTTTATGGTTTAGAGACATATTAGATATATCTGATGATTGTTCTTTACAAGTTGTGAATGCTGTGACAAAATTAAGTTGTACAATAAAGTGTCTGATAATAAAAGTGCACAAATAGCATCGTTTTCATTGATGTTAGACTAGACATTTGTAAACATTTTATTCAGGGCACAATTTTACAATAAACACTTATATAAAATGATGATATTTGGCCGGTATTAACAGTTGATATAAGAACAATCAATTATAGGAAACGGACACTGTACAGTTCAAAAAAGAAAACAGAAAACGAAAGATTGCTTGTATATAAACAAAAATGTTAGCCTTGCTTTAGACTGTATTTAAACTTTAAATTTTAAATTATATTTACATGTATGTTCAATTCGGATGTAATGTCAGTGAATCGGAAACAATGAACTAACAATATACCATTTCATGACTCTGTTGCTGATATAGGATGTCCTAATATGAATTACATCAATACTTGTATTGACTGTCTTTTAATTAAATCAGATATAAATGTTTCTCTGATATTCGTTCCTCCCCCTAAGCTACCCTTCTGTGATGATTAGTTGATTCTTATTCACTCCTCTTAATTCTTCAGTCCATAATCACTTTGTGAAATCAGAAGAACAAAATATTCATCCCACTTTGAGAAATAACACAACTCACTTTCTGTATGCGCTTTAATTCAGTATATAAATCTGAACCTTTTAATTTTATGTACAGTGACTCGACTTATTGAATTCCTCCAGTTTTACTGCTGAACTTAAAACATACAAAGCAACAAAAATGATGTTGATATGAATGGTTCTGTACATATATGCCACAAACATGTGTAAGTTTAATACAGGCGAATTCCCATCTATTGTATGGATATGAACATATGCTACTGGATAATGCAGTATTTCAGTGATAGATTTGGCACCTGCGCACAATTTGTTTACTTGCTTGTTTATGAGAGTTCTCATATGGGCCCTTAAAAGCTTACATAGACGCGCAGCATGCAGACAGTGAGTGGGAGGGGGATATGTATATGTATATATGAAAAGGGCTACACCTGTAATATTTGAACAATATTGTGAAGGAACAATATCTTAGAAATGCACATGTACCGTAGAATATATACAGTAAATATGGTATAATACACACATGTCAATCTTTAATTGTTGATTGTGCAATATAACATTAATGTAGTTAAATGGATAGTTGAGTTCTGTTGCAAAGGGCGCTACACAAAATATTTTTTTTGTGAGATAATGAAAAACTGAGTGTCAAATTTGAAAGAACATGATATTTGAATGACAAAATCATCTTTGTTTGATCAAAATCGGTTCAGAGACGGCACAAATATTAGATATTTTGAAAAATTTGAAAGAACCGATGAAAAAAAAATGAAATAACACCTTTTACGTAGTATTTCAGCAAATGCCGATGTTGGCTTTTTTTTTGGCATTTTCGTGTTGCTTATATTACCCACAATTAGCCAGCTCATGTATTGTTATTTTTAATTAAATTATTAATTAACGGTCACCGTGTTTTTTGGAAAGTGGAGCTAAATTGGTATGATCGTATTGGCTAAATTTCACACATTTTAGGGTCTAAAATTACCTTCGTAGCAATTTTAGGTTCTAAAAGGGCACTATGAATGTCATAGATAAGAATAAGAGCAATAACCATGCACTTCGCAGGCATTTGCGGTCTGAAAACAGAACTCAACTATCCCTTTAAGTGATTTAACGTTCTGTACAAAGAATGGTAAATGATATTTATTTAGACGTTTAGCAGCAAATTTGTTTCCAACACAATAAATCGGTTTATCTTTTAATTCATTGCACAGACACTTAGATACATAAAATACCCCACCCCAACCTCTGTCATGGAATTGGGAGTTTAATACCAACAGTATAATGAAACTTTGAAAAGGTCATAAATATGTGTGAATTTAGATCTCATGCAATTATATAAAAATGGATCATTCATATTGAAATGCACATTAACCCATTATAGGCCTTTAACTCATACAAACTAAAAGGAGAAAATATAATATGCTGGACATGTTCAAGTACTTATTTGATTTGAAGCTGGATGACATCATAGATAAAATACTGCTCAATATTAAAAGGATGTAATAAATTATTACTATACCATATTCAACAGTAGAATTGTCCAGTGGCGGATCCAGGGGGGGGGGGGGGGTCCCCGGGCCCCTGGGAAAAAACGTGTAAAAACACATGACTTTTTAGCTTTTTGGGGGGATGGGCTCCCCCTGGCGCTCAAGGGGGGGGGGGAATTTTTTTTCTTCAAATTTTCGAGGGCCCCCCCCAAAAAAAATGTGCTCACTACCCCCCCCCCTGAGAAATCCTGGATCCGCGCCTGGAGTTGTCATCATGACTTAGTAAATTCTGAAATCCCCTTTTGATTGCATCATTCAAGACTAATATACACACTTCTTATTTTATTAAGTTAAGTTGGTATTATCTTTGGTTTTAATGAATGTGACAAGAACATTGTTGTATTTAATAGTGTCCTGTAATGATCTCAATCTTCTTTAAATAGAATAAGTTTTATAAAAAGTTCTATGTTCTACTTATAAAACTTGATGTTTTGAAATAAAGCCTAGTCTATAACAAGGGATGTTTTTTGTTCTCTATTCTTAATAAGAGACGTACCTAACGACCACTCCACTCACATATCACTGATAACGATAACTACGACTGTAATAAGAATTCAATTCATCAAGATGAAATTGTCATGGCTAGTGAGTCAGAAAAAAGATCCCACTTTTTAAAAGTTGTATTATTTTAAGCATGAATATTTAATCATGGGTTTCATGATAATGTCTTGATAGAGTTATCCTCCCAGTACATTTATGTACCATTTTCATTTGAATCTCTGCATGCATGACTGAACATCAGACATTCTTTACAAAGCTGCCAGATCTTACTTGCGCCAAGATGCTGGATGAGGAATAAAACAGTGCATTGAACAAAGACAGTCAGACAGACAGACACCCACACACCAAACACACACACACACACACACACACACACGCACGTACAGACACACACGTACACACCCACACACACATACACACACGCACACGCTCAAACACACGCACACGCACAGGCACATAAATGAGCGTTCCATTCCCGACAAGGCCCACACAAACTGTTACTTTTTGTCGGGAATTCTTCTTCTCGTACGAAAAGTTGAGTGGCCGCTGTCCTCTTAGCCTATAATCTAGGCGGAGTGCCGAGCTTTTTTCTTTGCTGCTATAGACTAACCTTAAGCAGAACGTCTGATACGGCGAGACTACGAACCGTGAGTCGCGAAGCGACTCACCGCCTATAATCACTGGTCTAGCTTTAGTCGTTGTTTTTTTTATTATCGACGTTGAATCCGTGCCAGTTTTCGTACGAAAAACTGCCACGGATTCAAGGTCGATAATAAAATTACAACGACTAAAGCTAGACCAGTGATTATAGGCGGTGAGCCGCTTCGCGACTCACGGTTCGTAGTCTCGCCGTATCAGACGTTCTGCTTAAGGTTAGTCTATAGCAGCAAAGGAAAAATCTCGGCACTCCGCCTAGATTATAGGCTACTGTCCTCTTGGCGCGTATTGGCGGATTTTGTGATGATGATGATGATGATGATAATGATGAAGATGATGACATGATGGTGGTGGTGAATGTGTACTAAACGGAAAATTGTCGGGGTTATGCCGCTTAAACATTCAGCGAACTTGATACAAATCAATGCTTTAATCAGAAAAGGGGAAATTATGAAACAATTGTCACCGTGTGCGTTGTGCGTGTGTGTGCCCGTGAGTGAATTTGTATGTGTGCGTGAGTGCGTGTGTTTTTGTCTGTCTGGCTGTCTTTGTTCGAAACACTATTTTATTCATCACCCAGCAACTTGGCGTAAGTGAGATCTGGCAGTCTTGTAAAGATTGTCTGATGTTCAGTCATGCATGCAGAGATTCAAATGAAAATGGTACCTAAATGAACTGGGAGGATAACTCTATCAAGACATATCATGAAACCCATGATTAAATATTCATGCTTCAAATAATACAACTTTTAAAAAGTGGGACATTTTTTCTGACTCATTCTGTATAAGAAGGTCCGTATTATACTGCTAGGGGCCAATCAACCACAGATATCTCCTTCTTTAATAATTAAACTGAGAACAAGTTTTTATTGTTTATCCTTAGGATGGCCATCCACTCTGGCAGGTTCATTA